TGAGCAGCCATGTTGTAGGTATCCCCGTGGCAAGGAATTGTGGGCAGCCTCTCTGACCTGAGGGCAGCCACATAACATTTCATAAAGCTGGATGAACGATAGAAGGAACCGGCCAACAAAGATGAAACTGCAGCAAGGAAACAAAAAGCAATAATGCTGGAAGTGAAATGAAAATCGGATGTGAATTGAGTATGAGAAGTAACAGTGTGGGGCTGTTGACACTGCGGATATGCAGACCAGAGGAGTGCCGTGAAGGCGAACTTACTGACATAAATCAGCAGAGTGGCTGTGATGGAAGGATGAAGCTGTCCCAGACGAAGTGACAGGGGAAAAAAAAAAAACACATCAAAGGAACTCTTGGAGCTATTTCACAACATCGAAAGCACTAAAAATAAACTGGTGGAAGATGACCCAAATTTAGAAAGGAGTATGACAATTTGCCAAAGCATAGAAAAGATGCTCACTCCATGTTGTAAGTTATATGATGACTCAAAGGTGAGCACTGTTCAAACTACTTCATAAGGTTTTACAAAAAAAAAAAGAGCCCACTTTAATTCTCAGTTTCTAGTGTTTTAAATTACTGTGTACCAAAGAAAAGTTTTACTCTATTTTTTTCATGTCTTTATACATCTATAAACGACAGTAAGAAAGTTATGTTTTGAAAAAAATTTGTATAGGTCATGGAACAATTATAATTTGTTTTCATTGATTGTTAAGATCACCTCGTAAATGTTTGGCTGGCATAATCATCTTGACAGTCCTGCACTACCATGCAAAGTGAAGACTGCCTGTAATCTGGCTCACTCGGAGCCCTTCCCCACAAATGACAAGGGATTACCCATTCTACAATGGCTGCTCCGTTTTTGGCAGGGACCATGTCAATTATGTTCTCCATTGTACCCCACACCTCCAGCACCTAGAACAATGTTTGCTCAGATTAGGGAGCTGTTAATAGCTATTTGAATGAATGGACATACCTTGCCTCTTTAAGTGGGTGATACAAAGGAGTCACAGATCATTTAGAGAAAGGGCAAGATGCGCAAAAGGTACTAATCAAAATGAAAACAGGAGAAACATTACTTGATTTGAGGTTATCAAGAAGGCTTAGCTTCCTGAATCCCAAAGCTAATTCTCTGTAAAGTTGTGGATGATGATGCTGCAAATGGCACATAAATTTGGTCCAGACTGTGGAGTAGAAAATGAGAATTAACAGAGGCAATGAAAAAAAAAAAAAAACCTCGCTTTGAAAGTAATGTGTAATAGAAAATTGAGATGCAATTATAAATGTGGAGCTAGTTTAACTGAAGGCAGCAGGTTAATTTCAAGTTAAATGGTGAAATAAGCTACTTGGGATAAGCTACTTGGTTATCTACTTCTTTCAGAGATGCAGGGTTTAATTCATTCTATTATACTGTGCAGCAGCAACATTTGATAAAGACACGAATTGTTCTTCCATGGATTTCCTATGTACAGACTTGGAGATTCAAAAGTGAGAGGGGTAGGTCAGGGAATAGGTCAAATAACTAAAAAGCATCCAACTTAGTGATGTTCGGGTTGCTATGAATAAAAATGCCATTCAGAAGGTAAGATTCTGACTCTTTGATCTTTCAAAGCTGAGAAGCTGTTTCTACAATCTGACTTTAAGAAAGAGTTGGGATGTTATATAGAGAAAGGTTTATCATCATTTTTGGACTGCCACAGGAGAGCTAGCACTGAAATCCATGAAGCCAAACTGAAAACCAGTCTCACAGACCCCGCCCCCACAGGTAACTATCCACTCAAACACCTTCCAAACACACACACATACACGCGCTCGTGCGCGCGCACACACACACACACACACTTTCAAAGCAGAGATAAAATCAGGTTAGAGAGAATGTAATACCCATGTATATTTGATCCCTGTGACGATTTCAAAATGTTTGGAGATAATAGGAATCACCTGAACATAGCAGATTTGCTTTTTCTTTTCAATTTTGAAAATATTTAGCACAATTGCGAACGGTGTAGTCTGTCAAAGAGGGCAAATTTGTCCCACTGCCAAATCAAGAGTAACCCAGGCAGAACAAATTAAAGCGACATCCTGGGTTGCTCAGAAGTAACATTCAAAGAATAACTGGCATTTAGAAACGTGTGAAAGAGGAACATAAATGAAGGTTGTCTTTCAAAAGATGAAATTCATAGCAAAAGAAATTGATCCATTGTAGCGCTGCTATATCTGATCATTTCAATATTGTCAGTCTTTTTCTTCCGGAAAATATTTTCTTTTGTGATGAGACTAATTCCAGCTAGGAATTAGGGCCTAGGAATCTGTGTAAATTTTAGCATCTGAGGCAATTGCATTAGTTGTCAGATTTGCTGTAAGCCTAACGCTGTGGTGCTTGCTCATCTGAGCACTGTGTCTTCCCACATCAATCATATCCCTCTGGCTAACCCACTTACTTAAAATATGGAGGAACTGAGACTCAGAAGGGCGAATGTGTTCAGAACAGCTCTCTGAGTCCAAAGTTAAACTCATAAACATATACAATAATATTAGCATAGATATATAAAAATTTGAAAGAAGATGCCCTAGATTGTTGACAATGACATTTTGGGGGGTTGGGTTTATAGGATTTTTCACTTCATCATTTATTTCTGTAATATTTACTTGATAGTACCAGGGAATTACTAATTTTTAAAAGTGTGAAAACGGCATTATGATTATGTTTAAATGTTATCTGTAGGAAGTTCTTACTGAAATATTCATGGGTTAAATGCTCTAATGTCTAAGATTTGCTAATACAGTGTGGAGGGAGGTGCATCAAAATAGGGGAAATAAGAATAAACATGAATTGGTATGTGATAAGCACATATTGATTCGCTATATGATTGTGTCTCCTTTTGTGCATGTTTGAAAATTTTATAATAATTAATAACAATTATAGGTGATACGCTTGGAAAAATAGGCTGAGGACTAAATGTAAAGGACCTCCAGTGCAAGAAGTTTTATTCACTAGTTCAGTGGTCTGCAGACTTTAGTAAATGCAGCCCTACCTGTGACAATATTTTTGCATACATGCACCAGGCATATGCTTGTTAATTGATTTATTTATTTTAAATGATGTACATATAGCACTGTACTATTATGCCATTATAAAACATACACAAACATAAAAACAGCTAGATAAAAATAAACACCAGCATTATTTTAATATATTCTTCCTACACTCTAGTGGACATGGACCCCACTTAGGAGTGTTTAGTGAATGGGGGGCCCTTGAGGTTTTCTAAGTCATAAAGGATTCGTTTAGAAGAAACAGAAACTTATCGCAGCACCCATAGGAAATGGGAGATCGATTAGAAAGACCCAGTGCTATTTCACAGTTCTTTCTCAAAGACTTGGAATGGACAGGGAAGTTGTTCTAAATGGATATGTGATTTGAACAAGGATCATCACTGCCTTGTACACTTCTTTTATACATATACGATACACATAATGTATTCTGCGCATAGAGTCAGGATACAGTATGCATATAGAACAAACATACCCACATATTATCTTGGGCAATATATTTAACACAATATTATGATGATAATATCTGACAGTAATTATTGACTCCACCGGCTATTGTGGTAAGAACTTTACACACATAACTTTACTTAAACTCATGACAATCCTATGGAAATAGACCTTACGGATTTCCATTTTGCTATGAGGAAATTGAGGCACAGAAAAAATTGATTAGCTTTCCCAAGATGAAAGGGCTAGAAAATGGCCAAGTTCAAACTTAAATCAAGAAGTTTCTGACCTTGAGCCCCATGTCCTTAACTACTAAACCATATTGCCTCTGTAGGGAATTAATGGCGGTGTCCAAACCATAAGATTGTTGTGATGATTAAATGAGATAATATGTGTGATATGTTTAGCACATTATCTGACATTGAACACACATCCTATTAATGTTAGTATTTTTAGTACATAGAATATTTACCAAAAATTTCCACAGAAAACACCATTAATATTTCTCAATATCAAACACCAATATTTATAATTGTAATAAAATAATGTTTTCTTATTTAAACATTATTTTTAATAACACACGTCTAAACTCCTTTTGTAGGCTACCATCTACAAATATGTGTGACTTTTGTTATTGAACCTCTATGGAACAACCAATGAGAAATCGCAACTGTGGACTGTGTGTGTGTGATGCCTCCCGTCCAGTAGGCTACAAAAATGGAAAAATTTGTACTTGGCATACTTCTGTCATATTTTAAGAAGCCACGTACATAAATCGGAGTGTGTGTAGTAGCTTAAGCACTAAATGACCCACGAAGTACATATGTACATGTCGATTTTATTTTACAATTGAAGAGTTTGCATCCTTTTGCTTTGACCCAAAGATACATTTTGAGAGAGACGACAATTCTGAAAACTTCTTTGCATTCCATCAGTTTTACCTAAAGTGGTCAAATTTACCACTTCTGGTTTTTTTTTCCCCCAGCTTTCGTATTTCTATCAATCAAGATGAGATCATTTAATAAATACTTTATTATTTATTTAATCATGGCTTCTATATTAAAGTAGCCATCTCTCCCTAATTTTCTGAAAATTCCAGATTTGAAATTTTGTCCCAATGTTAGGCTGTAATTCAAAATTTGGTTGGAAGCATTGGCCCCAGTAGAGGAGGTGATGCATGAAGCTCTGTGATGCTGAGCGATGTGACTCAGGCTGCTGTGCAGTCTGCTTTACATGACTGGATCTGCACTTACTTTCGATGATCATTAAATGTTCCTTTATTGTAATTTTGCGAATACTTTATTGAATGTTCTGTCACTCTTAAGGGAATTCTAAGTTTCATGGTTGAGTTGCGGGGGGAATGAATGATATCTTTGGTTTATATATTCTGACATTTAGTCAAAGCAGAGCTCTCTATTCATCAAACAATTTAATTTTGATATTATTAATTGATTTCGATTTATGTAATTAGATAATCTATAACTAGGAACCTGCCCATCGTTCCCTCTATTCTTTTATTTGGGAAGTATTTTAATTCCAGGAACATCATGAAGAGCATTTGTGTTGACACAATAGAATCCATCCCCACCCATTTCTAACCCAAATGGCGTAAGCCAAAATGAAATTTGTAGCATTCTTGGAAGAAAGCATCAGATAACCAAACACTATGAGCAAAAAATTAATTTATTATATATATTCTCTAATAATTCATAATAGCTTCTTGAATTTTAAACGTCTTCTTGCTATTTCCAATGCTTAAAAATTATAATTTTAAAACATAAGTACTGTTTTATATACATTGTGATTTTGTTTTAAACTTCTAAATATGATGATATGGTCTCCAAGTATCCACTTGGAAGGAAAGGGGATAGGATTCATTGTTTTGCTCTAACACGATAGAATTTAAAATTTCACATCATATACCCGGAGTTTTGACTATATGAAAAATAGCCAAATGTCATCACTTTCTTGTATATTTCTTTTACATGTATATATATGTATAATATAAACAGAATACATCTGATTAGTACATTTCAACATTTCATCAATGTGACTTTTATCTCCTATTTTATACAAAATAACCAAATTTACAGAGGGAAGAAAGGAGACATCTGTTCATCGTACACATAAAGTAAATAAAAGTTCATGTATGGCTTTGCAAGGTAGATTATGATGTGACTTTCATACTTTATTTATTTAAAAGCATCTTGAGAGAACGTGTCAGTGTGCTTACGAGAGCGGCCATGGTGGTTGAATGTCGCATCGAGAGTCCAAGATTGGGATCCCCAGTGGTCTTTCCGGTGGCTGCCTCGGCAGCTTTCAGGAGACAAATGTAGTTTATGACCACTTCATTGATCTTCGCTACAATTTCCTGCCGCTGTGTTTCTGAGTTTACGACTTTAACTAACTGCATGCAAGCTTCTGTTAGGCAACAGAGCACTTGAAAGCTGGAAGTCATAGCTAGGAGCATCTCCTCTGGGCTTTTCTCGGCCATCGCCATTTTCCTACAGGCACTTCCCAACTGTCTGGACTCGATGGATAACAGTTGCTTGTACTGAGAAAGTGTAAATTCGTACGCTTCAGGGCGTGACTCCTCTCTCTTCCCCTTGGTTACCCTGACGAGGCAGAGCAGCTCATTGGCATCATTTTGGGCTGCGAGGAACCCATCGGGCATTGTATATGTGCTCTCCTTTAGGGCATTTATTCTTGTAATCCGGGCATCAAAAGGCAGGTTGCTGAAGTCCATATCATCTGGGCCGCTCAGGTCTTCTGCCCAGACTTTCAGCACTGAGACTCTGGACAGCTCCACTCCTTGCTTCTGAATCCCAACAGCCAGGGATGGGCTGGTTGGTTCTGGCATGGCTTGAGTCATCTGTGGTTGAAAGAGGCAAGAGACCCGGCGGGTGGCTTCTCCCTCCTCTTCGTCCTCATCACCTTCTTCATCTTGCCCTCGGTTCAGGAAGCAGTAGCTGAAAGGTCCCCGGCATCTCCAATTGCTGCCCTCCAGCTTCCTCAAGGGTAATGTCCTATACAGCTTTGAGTCTTTGTGAGCCACCGGGGACCTTTTGTGAACCTTTCCCTCAGAACTAAAGTGCATTGAGCTTTGGGAAAAACTTTTGGTGAGCTTCTTCCCCAGGGGGAGTTCTGCTCGCCTTTCTGAACTGGCCTCCTGCGATTCAGTGATACCTGGACACTTTAAGCCGACTGTACCCTTGGTTCTCTCTTGGAAGGGCTCCAAACCTACAGATCCTGAGAGGATACTGCTGCTACGTCTCAGAGCCCTCTGGCTGGGGGGTGTCCCGAGGCTCCCCCGTCTCAGATCCAGTGGCCGCCAGCTCACAGCCTCTCCATAGGCCTGGTTTGCTTGGGAGAAATCATTAGGGTCTTGATTTGGAATTGGCACCTTTGATTCCGAGTGAATATTTGATGGTAGCAGGATGGGATCAGCTTCAGGATGTTGAGACCAAGCTGAAAGCATGCCTCCTCGTCTCTCCTTCCCAGGCTCTGTCAAAGCTACACTAGGGGTAGTAGAAAAACAGAGAGAATCATTAAGCATCTCGTGGGCAGTCCATTCACTACATCTCTCTGTGATGTCTGTCATTTCCCAAGGATGCATTCTAGAAGGGATGCCATTTGTCAGGGTCACCCCACTTTCCAAAGACTGCAGCCTGAGATCTTATAACAGATTTCTATTTGAAATTTCAATATATTTCAAGAAATACTGGAATCTGTTATTTCTTAAACTACTGATTCATTTGGAATTGTCTAGAAATCCCAAACATTTTCAAGGAGATAACGAAATTTCATGAATTGCCTTGCTCTCAATATTTCTCTATCAAAGCTTAGACACATAATTAGAAAACACACATCCTACAGGTAGATTATTCAAACATATTTATAACATTTAAGTTTCATTTCAAGGGAGTTAGGTTAATCCTGGCATCAGTTAACCTTTTCTTAAAGAAGTGGCCTAACTTAATTAATGCAAATTAAATAAGTTAGCCTTTTAAAGAGGTTATCACGGGGTTTTCCTGGTGTAGGGTTTGAAGTTGAGACACTGGGCAAGTTGCTCAACTTTTCTCAGAAAAGTCATTTGAGGAAAATAATCTCCATCTCACAGAATTTTTGTGAGAAACAAGAGGTAAGTTAGGTGAAAGCTCTCTGTAAACTGCAAAGGATTAAACAGTGTGCTTTAATTAGTTTAGAGGTAAAGATGTTAGTTGGGTGATGCCTAGATGGGCTTCCCAAGGCAGGTGAAGCCAGTGGTGGGTTTTCAGAGAGGAGATGATCTTAAAAGGTCAGGAATGGAAATTAACCAATATAAAATCTCACGAACAGCTACTGACTTACATGGAAATGACACTAACAATGATATCATTTGAAATTGGAGAGTATGAAAGAGCATCTGCTTTTGTCACATGATGACTGGCCAAGTGGATTAGTGAGAGGGATAAATGCCCACTGGGTGGTAGAATGGTGAAGTGGGCATGGAAGGCGGCAGTTGTTCTAGTTTCTATCTGTGTCTATATTTTATTATTTAAGGGAAAATAAAACAGCTCATCGTGCATACCCCAAAACCTTCCTGACTCTGGGGTGTGCCAGACCCTTCAGAATACTCCTCCATGAGAGTCCTACAGAGTCGGAAGGAATCTGTAAGTGGCGCTGAAAGGCAAATGATCTTTGCCAACCTCTCCAGTCTCCCTGATCCCCTGCTGTTACCCCTCCTTGCCTCTCAAAAATGAAAGGGCAAAATTAGAAAACTGATGTCTTAAAAAGGACATCAAACTGCGTTTGTGCCTCTAAGCAATACTATCTTGCAACTAAAAGTCACACTGGACACTGCTAAAAGTCTACATTTGGAATTTATATATATATATATAAAACCGATCCATCAGATTCTAAAAGCAAGAACAGAGAAAGATTCTAAGGAGCTAATGCCATTTTCAGTATTGTTTCAGATCTAGAAACTTCGGTATCTTTTAAACACTGAGAGATCAGTGATTGATACTTAACCTGGCCACAATTCTGCAGCCTTTTTAAAGATTCTAATTTTTTGCATCCAGACTTCATATTTTTAAGTTTGCTGTAAATTTGGTTTACATGCTCCTGGCATGTAATGCAAAGCACTCAACCGATCATTGCTGTACCTGTGGTTTCCTTAATCTTGGGGAGCCGATGACATCCATCTCTCAAAGTGCCAAACAGAGGTTCGGCATTAATGGCTGTGTGCAGAGCAGGCACTGTCATCCGTGGACACACCCCTTCTGTCTGTGCGTGCAACTCCTTAAAGGTTGCTCCATGGTTAGGAAGCCCAGCGGCTCTCTCTTCTGAAGGAACATAATTCATGCCTTTCCCTGAAGTCTCAGGAATCAAGTGCTTCCCCATGGAGGGGCAGAGTGGGGACTCCACAGGTGTGGCACAGGTGCTGCAGCTGCTGCCTGTGCCACAGCCTGCATCCACTGAAGAGCCTTGAGAGCTCTGTAGAGAAAAATGGCCCTCGCTTTGTAACGATGACATCCGCTTGGCCAAGTGGTAGTCACAAAGACGGGCCACACTCTCTTCCGCCCCAGGAAGCTTGGAAGGATGGTCACACGTAGACGGGTCAGCATCCTCTGGGTTATCTAAGTCTTTGGCTGAAGAGACACAGGTCACGTCAGTTAAGAAGTGGTCCCGTTGGCCAAGTCCAGAAACCTCACTGGCTTCTCCATCGGGAGCCCCTTCATCCTTCCCTTCGGCCTCCCTTGTCCCCAGACCAGAAGCTCTTGGAAAGATTATCCCCGTTGCTGCTTCCATTCCACTTTTTTCAGCCACCCCGCCCTCAGTGGCCACATACCATCTTTGGCTGTCCTTGCGAAAGGCAGTTCTCTCCAGGTTAAAAGTGCTTAGGTGTTGACCGTCCCTTGAAGACACGGTACCAAATTTACCTTTGGCATCTTCCTCTGCCTCGGCTGTTTTGGTCCCTTGCTGTTTTTTCCCTGGTATGTTCCCATTAGGGGGTGCTTTCCCCTCCCCGTTGGCCAGCTTGCTTTTCCTTTTGCTGGTGCAGGAATACGCCACCGACCCCATGTGCAGTTTGCTAAAATAGTCAGTGAGAGACTTGGTCTCCATGGTTTCGGGCTCCATTTCCATGTGGTCTGAGTGAAGTATCTGCTTGGAAGGCACAATTTTGGGCGGAAGGTCAGTCACTGGACGGGCAGCTGGGGTGCGGGAGGACTGTGGAGGCAAGCCCCCAGCAGGGGGTTTGGAGGTGGGGAACTCTGTCTGCTCTTCTGCAAGGGGGTGGTAGCCTTCGTGAGTGGCCAAGAACATGCGGGAGAGGTTTTCTGACTGCTTCTGTGCTGTGGCCAGTTCAGAGCTCTCAGTCATTTCAGAAGAGTTTGTTTCATTGCCCGAGTCTGATGAAGACTCGGGACTATAAGCCCGCAAGATGGCTACACCTGCGTGTCGTGAAAAACAAGGATGGATTAATGGATGCATCAGGGCACTAGGAGACATGTAAGAAAATCGGACTCATTATTATTAAAAAACAAAACAAGTTTTTCCCTTTTCAGTAAGGATTCTGAATTTATTGCACAGTCGTTCCAGAAATGGGGGCGCGGGGAGAGGAAACGTGCCACGTGTTTAAAAAAATAACAAAGGAAACCACATACACACAAAAAAAGCCATGATGGTGGTTTTTGCACATTTATGGAATGGGACATGCGTGAAATGGAGAACAGCACATAACAGGACTCCAGGGGCAAATGGCTTGAAAGGACGAAACGGTATGGTTATCAGTGAATAAATGTAACAATTGTGAAAGAACCTGAATTGTCACTGGTCTGCTGTTCTTCTGACACGGACAGAGCTTCCAGCGGGGAAACGACGGCGGTATCCAGTCCCTTGTCGCACTTTCCCTCAGCGCTGGTGGGCACAGCGTCAATGAGAGACACAGGGATCTCGTCATTTTGCAAGCTGCCGCCTGGGCCCTTGTCCTCGAGGAAGGAAGCTGCCTGGCTCTGAGTGTCCTCCTCATCTGAACTATCTCTAAAGCCAGGTGGGGGGGCAGCGATAGCCATGTTCAAGGAACGCAGCAGGAAGTCATCCTCGTTGTCATCCCCTTCCGGAGGGGGCAGAGACGTGAGGTCAATGATGTCATCACTTGACCCGGACAGGGTGAGGATGGCTGGCTGGTTCACCTCTCCCACTACGAGGTCTTCTTCACAGCTCACCTCATCTTCATCCTCTGCATCATCAGTGTTTTCTGCATAGCAGATGTCGTGCAGGAGGGGCTCCTCTATTCCCTGGGTGGCCTCGAAGTGCTTCACGTCGCCTATGTTTGCATAAACAGAATTTGCCACATATTGGATGCTCTCTGCGTCTGGAGCGAGATCCAGGCTCTTCACGTCATTGGCACTGCTAATGTAGAGATCCCTCTGCTTGTCCAGCGCTTCTGGATTCTCGTCCAATAGTCTCTCATAGCCGAAAGTTGGGGGATTAATACCATCATCCATGGCGAGATCTCCAAAAATAAAGGACACTTTCGCTCCCCTCGGAGACTCTTGTGCTTTCTTTAGAGTTTCTGGTCCTGAGAGGGCCAACAGGGACCGCTGAGCAAGACTTCTGTAGTCTGCCTCACATGGCACATCTCCCGGCTGAGTTGGCTGCTGGCTGAGATCGTCTGAATTATAGGGGCTGTCTATGTACAAGTGCCGGTGGTCTTTTGGACACAAGGTGCCATCTGTCATCTCGACCGTCTTCTGTTTTGAATCTATATATGTTATCTGGGCTTCTTGTTCTCCTTCGCCAATAAAGGTGGTCATTTGGGGTATACAGTTCCAGTCTGGGCCAAGGAGGTTATGTTTTCCTTTATTTTCTGTTCCTAAAGAGAAAGAATCATGCACAGACACGTTACTGCACTGTCTGGTTTCTGGGGGCCTTGTCTCTGTTTCTTAATTTAATGGCTTGTGGCATCACTTTTGTAAAAATGGGGTTATTCAGCTTTCCAAATACGGTACCAGTCGATCTAGGCTTCGGGTATAAGGATTTCTTGGTTAGAAGAATAGACATTAACAGAATTGATATTGCATAAAATATGCGATAAAACATAACACCATCTGAGAGTAGGGAACTATAGCTTAATTCCATCTGACCCCTGGTGCTATTATTAAAAGACCTCACTTACATGTGTGAATGTGACTATAAAACATGCCTTTTAAAATCCTTAAAGGTGGTAGTCCAGCAGGCCATTATTCCAGAAAATAGATTGCCCTTTTACTTTATAAAGTGAGATCTAGCACTGCCCGCTTTGTAGAGGAAGATGCTGGTCTTTTTCCTCATTGCGTTAAGAGAAAGTGAATGATCCACTACTTCTACTACATATTTTAGAAGATATTGTCATGATCATGTAATAATGCAAAAAAGTAAATAAAAATATATGTAATAATATTAAAATTATAGCACAAAATCTCTATCTTCAGCCCTTTTATATCCTAGTGGGTGTTTATATATGCACACATAACTGTCAGTATGTGTGCCTGTGTGCGCGCATGCGCCTATGATGCATAAGGTGGAATACTCAGAGGTAATATACTTCTCTCTGCTATTTCTGAGCACAGTTAATACTTAGACTAATTTCAATTTTTATTTGTATCATGAGGACGCCTAAAGATTTGTTTGATGATCCTCATGAATTAAAATGGAAAATTCCTAATTTAAAAATTATTGTTCTGTTTGCTCTTTAAGGGTCTTTCAACAGGGAATTTTGATGTGCAGATTCCGCTCTGATATTTAACAAGACAGGGCAATGTGTCACTCTGTCAACACTGCTTTGTAGATTCCAGAGGCAACATTCTGAGGAAATGTTAGAGCCATATATTCTCCCATCTGTTCCCTCAAATTGTCCCCTGGCCTAAGTTTAGATAATATTGACATCAGATATATAAGACGTATGGAAAAAAAAATCAGTTTTACTGAAGAGGTTCTTGGTCCTCCCAAATTATACACTGGACTCAATACTAAACAATTTCCAAGTCATTTTATTAAATACATATATTTTCATAAATAGCAAGTAAAATATATTATTTCTGAAGACATTCATTTATATGCTAGCCATATTTCCATGTTACCTTACAGTAAATACACTTGTGGGGGTTCGGTATTGTTTTATTAACAACAACAACTTAGATTATGACTGGCTGTGTGTTTGTGTGTGGGCGTGTGTGTGCATGCACATTGTGCTCACATGCATGTCAGAAGTATGGATTGTTGAGGGGAGGGTTTAGCAAAGTTGTGATTGAGCTCTGGCTTTAAACCAAGGGTTGGCCAACTATCTCTGTAAAGGGAAGACCAGACAGTAAATATTTTAGGTTTCGTAGGCCAATTGCTCCGTTGAGTGACCACTCAACCCTGCTGCTGTAACACAAAAGTAGCCAGAGATGATACATAAACAACTGGACGCAGTAGGTTGAATAGTGGCCCCAAAAGATATGTCCATTTTATAAATGTGACTTTATTTGGGAAAAGAGTCTTTGCAGATGTACTTAGGTTAAGGATCTCAAGATGAGATCATCCTCAACTATCCGTATGGACCCTAAATCCAATGGCAAGTGTCCTTATAAGAGAAAAGCAGAGAGACATTTGGGCCACACAGAGAAAAGAAGGCTGTGTAAAGAGAGAGGCAGAAATTGGAGTTATGCAGCCACAAGAAATGCTGGCAGCCACGAGAAGTGGGAAGAGGCAAGAAAAGTTTCTCTCCTAGAGCTTTTGGAGGAAGCATGGCCCTGCCAACACCTAGATTCTGGACTTCTAGCCTCCCAAACCGTGAGGTAATAAGTTTGTTATGTTAAGCCTCTAAGTTTGTAATAATTTGTTACAGCAGCCCTAAGAAGATCATACAATATGCATGGCTGATTTCCAATGAAATTTTATTTACAAGAAAAAGGTTTGGCCCATGGGCCATAGTTTGCCAACTTCTGGTTTAAACCCACAAGAAAACCAAATAGGTCAGCTGCCTAAAAGCAAATTAGTAGATACTTACTCAGACTCTCCTAAGGCTCAGAGCTGCATAAATATGTGAGTTTTGGGATTTTCAAAGTACTCAAAGGCTAATTTTCAAGACAGAGAAGAAGAAATGGGGGCTTACTTTTCCTTGTTAGAGATCTTGACTAAGGTCTTTGATCAATTTGAGGCAAGAAGAAAATACACACTCAATCTTGGTTTCCTTACAGAAAGATGGACTGATTTGGCTTCTGGAATGATTTTAAAGACACCGAAGGATGTGGATTGAGAATTAGGATCTATACTGTAGCCCAGTCTCTCAGAGTGGAGGAGAGAACAGACTAGGGATGAGCTGGCCTAAAGGGACTTCACTTTCTACATTTCTTGAGTCTTGTGAGGTCTTTAGGGAGTGTCTGAAGAGAAGAGAGGACTTTCTGCCATTAAAGGATGCTAAGCCTTAGGCCGCTGCTCAGCTTGTGTCAACCAGTTGCTTATTGGAGTGTGCCATCCCTCCCCCTTGTCCTTCCTTCACACACATACATGTGCATGCGTGCGCTCTCTCTCGGTCTCTCTCTCTTTTTGAGAGCGGAGAGAGATATTTAGAACACGTGTTCTCACCTTCATTCTCACTGTAAAACTGGGAGAAATTACTGAAAGGTTGAAGTTCATTCTTTCCCCATGGCGATAACACTTTTAAGAACTAATTTTTTGCCCCTCGACATTTTATTAAACGTTTTTTTGTAAGCCGCTATACATTGGATGGAACTGAGGCCCTTATTACTCTAACCATTTTTAGAATGGTTGGCTCGGTTTCCTTCATGCACCTGCAACAATCTGAATAGTCCGTGGGGAAAAGGTTTTATTTTCAAGATAAACTTTAAGATTTGAAAATAAAGAGCCAAAAACGTGGTTTTCCGATGTTAAAGGATCGTGTTAAACAGCTGAACTACTCTTAGGAATCTCGAAGGTCAGCGTGAAATTGCTGAGTCTCCTAGCTCACGGAAAGCATGTGGTCATAAAAATGCTCGCTGTCAAACCCAGACCAAACTCACCACCTCCTTTTTGTCTCTCCCCTATTTATTTCTAACCATTGCGTCTCTTGGGGTCTTTCTTTGCTTTGTGTTTGTCTTTTATTCCTTTCTGTGTTTCTGTCACTTTCATTCTGAATTTTTTCCATTCCTGGTTTTTTTTTTTTCCACTGCCAATTATTAATAGAAGTACTAGGCATCATTTCAGGTGTTATAGATTTTTTTTTTCTTTTTCTTTTTTTTTAGACGAGGAAACCCTTGGTCGACCTCACAGACTGCGAGGACCTTGTCAGTTTACGATTCCTTATTTTTTATGCCTATAGCACCTGGTCTTCCTAGGTGGCCTCCCATCCAAGTACTAACCATGCCCGATACTGCTTAGCTTCTGAGATCAGATAGGATCGGGCACGTTCAGGATGGCATGGCCGTAGACCATAGATGTTTTTCTAATCCTAACCTTGCTAGCTAGGTTTCTAATCCCAAGTCTACAAATGGAAAAACCCAAATTTAGAGAAATTAAAAAAAAAAAAAAAACAAAAAAACAACACTTTGGGACTGGATTAAATCTAGTTACAGTCAACCTTTCTTTCTCTCTGGTTTCCCTGTATTCTGTGACTATAATTTCTCCATTTAACCAGCTATCAGCATACACTGTGTGCAAGTCCGTGTGTCTGTATCCACCTACATACTACGATACATTTGTGAAATAATTATTTATGTTTTCTACTAAGTTTAAAAGTGAATTTTCCTTCTCTTCTTTTTCCTTTTCTCTCAGAAACAGCGACAATGGAATTTGTTCTTAAGAATTTTCCTCTCTTTTAACAGAAACCCTGATTATGGAACTCCAACTATAGGTTTTTCATGGGTCAGTAGCTTTGGCTTGAATGGTAGAGTCTGTCCATCAGCCACATTTACTGAGTGCTCACTGCGGATGGAGGAATAGGTCAAACTCTGAACAAAAAAAATTCTGAAACAAATGAAAACCACCTACCCTCAAAGAAAAACTATCAGTTTAACATTTGCAGCCCTTCTTGTTCTCACTCTGGGGCTATTTCGTCCTGTCGAGTGACTGGACTGAATTATTTGATGCCTTTGCCATTTCGATGCTCCAATAACAGAGCTAAGATGGCTGCCAGGGTGGGGTTCCCTCTAGAGCCTCATGTCTGAGTGCTGGGCAGTTCCAAGGTCTCCTGTTGGTAGAACTCCCAGAATCGTGGAGGTAAGTCTGACACAGGAGGAGGAGCCCAGGCATCTGAGCCTAGGGCACCCTAAGGAGGGACGAGCCCTAAGGCTAGGGGCTCACAACTCCTACTAGGCACTCCATTGTTAGTTCTCTGCATCCTGACTCTGTGAGCAAGGTGGTAAAGCTCAGCCGGAAAGACTGATGCTGACTCCCTCCAGTGTCATCAAATCACTGCCTTCGATGCACACGCCCCAGAATTTCGAATGTGTAAAATGTGATGGAAAAATCAACATTTTCATGTAAAAAAATTACACCAAAGAGGATGTATTTGAAGGCTTTTGTGTTAAATTTGGACACGATTTTTTTTTAAATGCGTATGATTTTAACTTTTCAAGAAACATCTCATTATTGTTGTCAGGTGGGGTGGGGAAGGGCGGGAGTCAGTACTTCATGAATTTAGGAAAAGAATACCTGTTTCCTGGGGCCTTGCATTTTTCTTGTTGGCCATGTTAAATATCGACCTCCTGGAATCCACGAGTAGCCTGTAGTACCCAGCTGTCAAGCAGGCCAGGTTCATGGCGTCCGATGACTCCATCAGGAGCGTGATGGGCTATACAAGAGAGAATGTTTTGGTTAAAGCCAACCCTCCTTGATAACTTCCCTCAGGTGACAATGGCTGCATTTATGCCTGTCGAATGTAAACAAAAGAAGTTATTGAGCAACGATTTAATTGGGGGAAACACACGGGGGCAGGGGAGTCAGGCGTAACACAAAGAGAGCCTTATTGAAAAACATTTAAGTGACACCATTTTGAAAGCCTAGCCATTTTGAATCTTTTCCAAATCATACTGATATGAAAAAAATAATAACATTGCTTTTGTTCCCAAACTGTTAACCTTATAAAAAGTGATAGTTAAAGAGTCGGTTCCCAGATGTGAACCAGGGATTTGAAAAATCACAGGAAGATTAAGTTTGGGTTCATGATGAAAATTAGTGTCGAAGAAAAGTAAAAATTAAGTGGAAATTACTGCTAAAACTGAGTGAGAAATGTCAAAGAGATCCAGGAAGAGGATGCTTCTAAAAGAAATTGTGAATTCACAGGAGGGCAAAACAGAGATGGGAGTTGAGAAAAGTCTTGCTAAAACTTTCTGGAAACGATGAGGTTACCGTATCATCGGACGTGGCTCTTGGGCATCTAAGGAAGGAAGTATTCAACTGAAGAAATTACGGGGAGGGTGGACTGGCTGGTGTGTTCTTGTTGAAAGAGAGATAAAGTAAGAGGGAAATAAAAGCAGATACCAAGAGAAGCACAGACAGTCGGCCTCTTGCT